CATCCGCCCCCACCTTTATCGCGTTTGCCACCGCCAGAGTGTCCTCCTCCGCCTTCTGGCCCAGCTCCCTCAGAGCACCAAAAAGACCCGCGGGCCCAGCCCGTATTGGCGCCTGGTGCAGGGTGCGGCCCCGCCGAGGCGCCGTCCGCTCTGGCCTCCGCCTCAGTGAGCGGAGGGTTGGGGCTGCCGTACACACACAGAGTGCGACGCAGAGGCGCCGATGTAAGTGCGTGTTTGCGGCACGAGCGAACTCGAGAGGGCGTCGCTGGCAGCTATCAGCCAGCAAAACTGGCTGGCTGCCGGTGCGGGGCGGGGGCGTTGCTGCGTGCGTATGCTCTGGGGGCTGCGGCGGGCGCGCTGCGGCCGTCCATGACGCCTGCAAACATCTTGTGCAAGCAACCAGCAGGTTAGTAATGAAGATCCCTCGGGTGTGAGTAGAGGTTCATGTGTCATGTTCCTGTGACGCACTTCACTGCCGGCCACCAGGGTCGCCACTGCCGGGCCAGCCACCCACATTTGCACCCACTCCTTGAACCCACCGCGGCGGCGACATCCAACTTGGCTGGGGGGGAGAGACCGAGGCGCTAATCCGCGGGCAGGGCCGCGTAGTAGAATGACAACACATCCTGCGTGGCAAACCTGCGGGCATGTACGGCAGGACGGCAGGCGCGAGCACTGATCTGTGAGGGCAAAGGAGGGATCGGTGCCCTTGTGCGAGCAGTAGCCTCGCGGCAGTGGAGGGGGCTGCAGCGCCTATGGGCGGCAGCAGCCGGGGGGGGCGGCCGTCAGAAGCCTTGTGTACAAGGCGGGGCGGTACCAAAGGGTCTCAGATTTGTGGCGCACGCTGCATGCACACACACGCGCCCGTGTGTCGGCCGGGTGGCGACTGCGGCCAAGCACGCAGCAGTGGTCCCAATGAAGGAGGGGCGGCGAGCTGAGCGGCGCGGCGCTCGTGTGGTTTAGTGCGGGCCGGGGTGTGGCGCGTCCAAGAGGTGGTGCGCACTAGGAATCCCGGCCGACACGCTTGAAGGGTTCCCGTGATGACGTCTGGAGCGGTATGATATTGCCTTCAATCTGTAAAGAGGGGGTGGCATGGCGGCAGGGGTGATTTCGGCTGCACACAGGCTGCATTGGGATCAAGGAGGGGCCAAGCTGGACGGTACAGGAGTCAACGAGCTGTTCGCCCCTTTTGCTGCGACACCCACGGAGCAGGTTGTTGGGTACAAATAGCAGAGCCCATCTCGAATTCCAATCGCGGACCGGACATGCGCACGCGCGTGTGCCCGCGCCACCGCGGCTTGCGGCCCCTTGCGCTCCGTGATCGCCGGCGAGGGGCCGTAGATGGTGAGGGTGCCGCTCTTGACTATGGTTGAAATCCTCCCCGCTGGCCTGGGCCCATGAGAGAGCGCTTGTGAAGCGACGTGCGGGGTGGGGGGGGGGCTGCAGGGCGTGCTCACTGCAGGCAGCTGCGCAGCGGTGCAGGCAAGTGCTGGCTTGCCACTTCGACTAGCTTCGCGTGCACGACATTGAAATATGTCGTCATGTTCGCTCTGCGCAGGTGCGGGCCGAGCGGCGACAGTTGCTGCCAGTGCAGAATTCCGTTTTTGAGGCCGGGAAGCGCGCAGGTCTTATTCACAAGTCAGCAATTTTACACTGTGAGTTTCCATTGTCACGCATGGGCTTGATGGTTTGTAGATCGTGCGGTTGCCCCGGTGTGTAACTCCTGCAGATCACCCGGTGACACAAGACGCGAGGCAGTTGCATAGTTGCCAAAACCGTCGAAAACCTATACGGCATGCCGCCAGACTCACGCCACTACCACCATGCCGATGGTCGGCCTAGTCCAGAAGCAAGCATTCCCACTGTCAGCATCGGTGCGTAATGCCACAGTCAATCGCCTGCTCCTTGACGTCAGCGCATAGAGAAGGCAACTACTGTACATCTGCAGGCGTCACCTTCTGAACATGTATATCAGCATTCCATTGCGGCAAGCTGCGTGTCCGCTCTGCTCATGCTGCCGCCTCAATCCTCAGCGGTGTTGCCGTTGCCCCCAGACACCATACAGGCTGGCCAGAGCAAGTGCACAATGTTTTGCGTTGGGGCACGTTACGTCCCAAGACCAGCTGCTGCTTGAACTCAAATAATCTGAACCTTCGCTGTGCAGTCCCCCTCCCGCCCTAGGCAGGGCCCGGCCCTTGCCCCCTCACCAGCCGAGAACTGCGCTCACACGTTGTGGTCCCGCATGCACTCGGCTTTTCAGCGCTACTGCAACATCACTGACCATGTCAGACGGCGTTTGCACATGCCGGAAGAATGTGGCTTCCGATAATCCAGCCACTTCCTTGTGGCTGGATTTTTTAGGAGGCTGCTGCATGCATGCTGCAGTGGGGAGTGAGGGACTCCCGCTCGGAGCGGCATGCCGCAATTGCCTAGCATTCACCACATACAGACCTGCATGCGGCTGAAACAAGTATACACCGAGATTGAGGCGTGTTCATTGAAGTATTGGGATTTTGTCTTGAGTGTGTGATGTTCGAGAACATTCCCCAGCCGCCCGCTTCTGGCAGCCCGGGACGCTGGTGCAGAATATATCTCTTACATGCCGCATGTACGGTCCTGGCTTCGCCTCATGCGCAGAAGGCCGGGTAAGGGTAGACAGAACGGTAGAGCGGTCAGATTGTTGACGCCCTTGGCCCAGAAATGGCGTTTGGCTTGATCGCATTGAGAAGTGGGGGAAAGCAAAGCCCCGAGCAGCCACATGACACGCACTCCAGGTCAGACCCCCCCCCTAGCCGGCCGGCTGATAAAACAGCATGCAGGGACTGCGTTGCAGTCGCGTGCATATGCATTGCCATATCAGTATTGAACCAAGCATGAAGGGCCGCTGTGCATCGAGCTAGCAAGCACCCACCTCAATTTCAGGCTCCCACTTTATGGGTAGCCAGCAACGGGCACCCCATGACTAGCAGACGGAGCACTTCAAGCCCGTGGCCAGGCAGAAGTCTGCAGCGCCTTGGAACCTCTCGAGGCCCCGCGGCAGGCAGCCCACCAAGCCGGGGTTGTCGTAGAGCCTCAGGTTGGTGATGGGCACCGCGCCCCAGGAGGGGGGAATGCTGCCCTGGAGCTGGTTGTTGCTCAGCCTAAGGTCTCTCAGCGCCTTGAAGGAGCCCCAGGACGCGGGCAGCGGCCCCGTGAAGGCGTTGTTGTACAGCGCCAGGTCCTCCATCGCCGGCCAGGCCATGCCAAAGCCGGGGCTCAGCGTGCCGGTGAGCTTGTTGAAGCTGAGCAGAGGGATGCAGGAGGGGGGACAGAGGGGTGATCAGGCGGTTGCGAGAAGGATAGGGTAGGAGGGGGGATCAGGCTGCGGCTAGGGGTGTGAAAGCTGGGCGCTGGGCTTGGAGGTTGGAGGCTTGAGTGCTGCTGCCGTCGTTCCAAGCCCGACACGGCGCAATGGACCTGCGCGAGTGTCCCCTGTCGCCCGCTCCCCACGTGCCACTGCCCCGCCCTTCCCTGCGCCTTCTAAATAACGGCAAAGTATAGCGAAGAGATATCGGCCTGTATCCATGTCATAGGACACTTCCCGCACCCCAAATTAATCCCCGCTGGCAACAGCCCGTCAGGGGCCGGAGTGTGTGTGTGTGTGTGGGGGGGGGGTGTGGCGTGTTTGTGGGGGTGTGTGTGGGGA